AAAAAGCAAAACAACAACGACAGCGAAGTGGTAGAGAATGGGTGGGACGATGAGCAGAGGCCAGGCCTCTTGAGGCATTCATGGCTCTAAGACAGACTCGCTGCTGGTTTTTCAGGTGGGATGGGGCAGCTGGCCCAGGAGCATTTCCCCAGTATTTGGGTGGGTGGGTGGGTGGGAATTAGAGAGGGCCATCTCATATCTAAGCCCCCCTCCCGCCCTGCAACCCACCACTGCTCTGGTCAGTAATCCCCACTCCCCCATGTAAAGCTATAGCACTGGACAGCTGGAATTGCCTGCTGGGACGTCACGTTTTCATGTGGTTAATGGCTGCTCCTTTCAGAGTATGGCTTCTTAGGTTGTCATCTTCTGACTACGGATACCTCCAAGGGTGCTGTGGGTGCAACATTCCCTACCTCTCAACCACTTGCCACCTCACATGCATAGTTCAAAGCAGGGGTGAAGAACCTGTGCCCCTCCTGATGATGTTAGGATTTTAAAAGCCCTATCGTTCCTTACCATGGGCTGATGGGAGCTGGGGTCCAAGAACATTTGGTTTAAGGGTTAAGTGGGTCTCCAGCGTTTATTATGGTTCTCATCTGGGTTCTCATCAACTTCACATTTTTGGTTAAGAGGGAGCCCTGGCTGAGATCAAGGAATGTCTCCTTGGCACTGGGCCTTAGAGAAGCTGGTGCTACGTCCATGCCAGAAAGGGGTGGTAGCCTTGGCTGGCAGCTGTCTTTCCCAAGTCAGAGGAGAGAGGGGAAGCGCAAGGCTTCAGTGCTGCTTTCCACACTGCATTTCAAACTCTAGTTTGCTAGCACAGGGGGGGGGGGGAGAAGCAGCAAGGATCTCCAGAGGAGAAAGGGTGGACTTCAGCACACAAGACACTGTGCCTGTCTGTGTCTTCAGGGTACCAGGAATTTAGCTCACTCTTTCCATGAAAACTTGGGGAAGCTAGCTGAGAGCATGTTACAGAAGGCGCATGAGCTAAGGGGGGGGGGGGAGTAAATTAACACTCACTTTCCCCTCCAGCTCCCCACCCCTGAACGCTGCATGCTGTGAGGAGGAAGCAGAGAGGCCCCAGAGCCAGCGTTCCCTTGGCAACCAGAGCATAGGCTTGGCCTGACAGCCAGCGAGTCTTTGTACATGGAACAGGGAATACATTTTTCTTTAGTGTCAAAGCAACCCTGAAGGAACATGAAAGACCCCAAGGGGGCCCTCCTGCCTCAGAGTTGCCCAGCCTGGCTGTTTCAGCAGCCTCCCTTTCCTCCAAGAGCAAATGGAATCCTGTCAGAACTTGGGGGGCATAAGGGGCACCAAATGGACATATTTTTAAGACTACTATTTCACCTGAGAGGAGAAAAATCAAAACAGGGAACAAAGAGATGCAGGAGGAGGTGAAGGAAGGACATACCTGGCTATTTTGCAAGAATCAGCCAAGAGAAGGGCCCAAATATTTCTCGCTTTAACAAATCAGCAGTCCAAGCGCAACATTTCAACTGTGTCTAGTGAAAGAAGAGGGGCCATGTATTGTTGCCATGAATTTAAACTTCCAAAAGCCGATGAATGGGAGAAGCAGGATGGCTGTTATCTTCCCAAGAGAGAGAGAGAGGGTTGTGCTAGCCAAGCTCTATTCTTGTTACCCCAAAGGGCCCAGAAATTGCCCTGTGACACCAGAGCCCCCAGCGGTGCCTCCCACGTGGCTCCCTGGGCTATAGAGAGACTTCTCTTCACATAGCTGGGCTTGCCTGCATATTCACTCAACATGTATGTAATGCCCACCTCGCTTGGAAGGTCTGTCATATGCCTGTTATGCACACATGAAAGGAAGCCCAACCACATGGGCAGAAGTTTTTGTATGTTCCTGGGACATCATGAGAGCAGCCAGCAGCAGCAACAACCATGTCAAGCCAGGTAGATGCAAAGGTGTTAATTCCCTTTGAATCGTAAGAATCTGCAGTTCTTAAACTGAAGACACTCCACTTAAAGCCAGATTGTCTGCATCCTACCAAGCAGCAAACATGAGATCTCTCTAGAAGAGATTGCTATCAGTGTTGTTCTGAAAGAGTAAGTGCCATGGTTTTCTCCAACAGAAGCCATAAGAGGTGTGCATAGCTTTAACATAAATAAAAATCCCTTCATCTTCAAGAGGAACAAATGTTTGCACTGTTTCAAAGCACCCATTCATGTAAAAAGGATAGTCATGAGTACATAATCCCAAAGTTGCATCTGCTCCAAAATGCAAACAAAGCCGTTTCATAATTCTCAACCACGATGTGAAATAATTATGAACGGAGAAAGCCTATGTTCAAAGTGAAATATAGTCAGCAGCACTGTGATTAAGAGGCATCCTTTTATGCAACACCTCTATGCTGTCTGATTGTGTCATTTGCTTAAGTCACTAAGTTACAAGAGGGCAGAAGAAAGAATGGCCCTGTGGAAGACTGCTTCAGACATACCCCAAACAGTGCCTGGAAGGGTAATGGTTGAACTCCAGGAGGAAGGTATCTGCGCCACTTTCCAATGAATTACCAAGTTTGGCTTAAATAATAATAATAATAATAATAATAATAATAATAATAATAATAATAATACAATTGCCACCGACACCTGGCTTCCATCAGAGTCAGGATAAAAAAAACTAAACAGGCTCAATTCTACACACAGGGTTCCCTTCTTCCAAGCACATCTGTTTGGTTGCTATTCTTTGGCACATTAGAACATAATCCCCTTGCTTCCAACTCTGACTTGAATAAATATCCCTCAAAGAATGAAGACCTCAGGCTCAAGCTGCTGACTAAACAGTTTCTCCTCAAAACCCCCACTCAGTTCTACCGAAGTTTCTCCATACAATGTAATTTGGCTATTCACTCACACTAAAAAGAGCCAAAAGGATTGCATCTTCTCTCTTAAGATTTGTCCCTCTCACCAACTTGTAAAGCCTACCTGCCTGTGACTTCCTTTCTGGCAGTATGAGAAAACGTACTGCTTTCATTACAAAACGGGCACGGTAAAGGTAAAGGTACCCCTGCCCGTACGGGCCAGTCTTGACAGACTCTAGGGTTGTGCACCCATCTCACTCTATAGGCCGGGGGCCAGCGCTGTCCGCAGACACTTCCGGGTCACGTGGCCAGCGTGACAAGCTGCATCTGGCGAGCCAGCGCAGCACACGGAACGCCATTTACCTTCCCGCTAGTAAGTGGTCCCTATTTATCTACTTGCACCCGGGGGTGCTTTCGAACTGCTACGTTGGCAGGCGCTGGGACCGAGCAACGGGAGTGCACCCCGCCGCAGGGATTCGAACCGCCGACCTTTCGATCGGCAAGTCCTAGGTGCTGAGGCTTTAACCCACAGCGCCACCCGCGTCCTATACTCACAGGTCACCTATTTCAGCTTGCAGTAAACATTTTGCACACATCTGTAGAGCCCTTAGTGGTTTTTGCAACACTTGGCAGAGAACAAGACTGACGCATTCTGTCAAACAATCAATCATGTTATTATTATACTTCAAGAGAAGTGCTAAGGAATCTGCCCAAAGGTCTCCTGCCCTTTGCAAAAGTTACAGGTTTAGGTTTTCCAGATGCAAACCTGGGAGCTGCACATTTTACATGGCAAATGTGCTTGCCACAAGTATGCCAGAATTTTCCATAGTAAACACAAAGTTATGATGGCAGGTGGGCACCGTGAAGCTCCCTAGCCTGTGCTGTGGCCCATCAGGGCTCCTGGCCACAAGTGAGCCTCCTTGCAAACACCCTTCCCACATATAGCTACTCTTGGTCGTCACATTTAAAGTTTTGGGGTAATGAGGAAGAAGGAAGCAGTAGTGTCTCCTGTTACAAAGCTGAAACAACCTGCCTCTTCACTCATGCTGCCTCTTAAAAGGAGCACAATGAGGTTGTACCCTAAGCTAGTCGCACTCGATGAGTAGATCCACTTAAATTAATGGACATGACTAACTTAGGTCCATTAATTTCAGTGGGTCTATTCTGAGCAGAATTAACTGAATACAGCCTGGCATTGACCAGAAAATAGTGGGATTAGGCACTCCCAGAACCATGAGCCAATGCTGATGGGAAATGCTTTGATTGTGAAAATCTGGTCCAAAACACTGTTGATCACAAAACACTGTAGCATCACTTTGACGCTAATTACAGGGGCCGGAGTATCAGCCGTTCATTGCTGGCTGTGCCCTTGAGATCACCGAGAAGCCCTTGTAGTCAGCCCAGGAGAGCTTTGCCAGTTGTATGCAGGAGCCAAACGTGGGAGCCTTCACAGGTCTACTTATGCCCATTCCCCCTCAAGGGAGACTCCCAAGTGAGCACCCATTTATAACCACTGTGGGTTTTTCTACTTGTCCCACATAGGATACACAAAGACAAAGGAAGCAGTGCTGCTGATGTGCAGAACTCTGCACAAAACTTTACCTTTCCTCCTACACCTCACGTTTCCCACACTATCCAGTAGAGCTAAAGCCATGAACTGGAAATGAAGCGGGTTCCTGGGGGACATATCACAGAGAGATTTTGTGCTGGAGCTCACATCATGGAGCGTGGGAGAGGAATATTATGTGGGAAGAAGGGAAAGTATCTCACTCCTAAAATACTAATTTTGTACAGTTTTTTTACATTAAGAATATGAGTCCATGACAATCTGTGGAGGTTAGTTTCCTGTCAGAGAAAATCACATAAATCCCACCTGTGTGATGTCAAATATGGTTATGTTCATGGAACGACATGAGCAACCAGCTGGGTGAACTCAAGATGAATGGAGACTGCAAGATCACATTCATCAAAGCCCACCTACTGGTTTATTCCAAGAGAATTCATTTCTCTCCTGAAACTGGATTCCTGAAGGGAAATCAATGGCAACATCTGAAGGGGCAGAGGCAGGATTAGGTAGATCCTTTTCTCCAGTTCCAATTATTCACCTGGAGCTGATCTGCGCATGTCAACCTTTGCCTTGTGACACAGGATTCCAAAAAGGAGAAAGTTTACCAATTGCCCTATGCAACATGCCTTTAATGGAAGTCAACTGCTGGAGCATCAGATGCAGTGTGAAATAGAAGAAACACAGCAAAATCTGGGAGGAGAAAAATGTTGCTTTCAAATGAAAGTTGCCACTTTTAAAAAACAAGGATAACTTGAAACGGTTCCATTATAAAATCAGATCCCAGAGCTGCCCTGGGTTGTTTCTGCTTCCCTTCCTCCCACCCCCCCCCCCAGCCACACACACAGGCTCCTTCCCTCCTTGCAGGGACAGGCAATCTGTACAAAACAACACTTTATATATGTACTAGTATTTAGACCCATTCCTAAATTAAAAAAAGATGACTTTTTATATATTGAACATAAAATTTTAAAAACTTACAAAATGGTCACCTCTCTTACAGAATGGATGCAAACTGGATTATGGATGTGCCTCCAGGCTAAGTTGGTTTCTCCCCCCCCCTTGCCCTCCCCCTTCATAATAAATAAATAGAATTCATTAAGTTTTGGATCCTTTAGTGAGACAGAGTGGGTGGCGCCTGAACTGTTACTGGGCTTTCTTCCCCATCCCGTTCTTTTCCGCAGAGTTTGTGGAGGTTAAGTTCACCGGCCCGTCGGGGTGCTTGGAATCCTTGCGTGGCGGCATACGCTCGTTGACACGGTCCAGTCCCCTTGCTTCTTCAAAGCTGCGGATCTTGTGCTGTGGCGAAAATCCACGGATGGCTAGAGTGGAGGAGAAAGAGCGAGAAAAAGGAATCAGAGCAAGTTTCCAAGCCTGGTTGCTCAAATGTGCACACAGACCACCCTGCAGTTACTATGCAGAGCTGTGACTATGGAGCATGTGTCTGACTTGGGGGAGGTGGTATGGGGTTATTTTTACACCGGACAGGACAAACTATTATGCCCCTGATGTGAAAAGACGTCTCTTTAAGTAAGACTGGAAATATTTTCCTCCCAGAGCTGAAGATATTATGAAAGAAGGATTTCTGTTCACAGTGTGTACATTCATTCCACTGGTCACTGTTCAAAAACACATTCAGTTGGTTTTTGCACTGCTTCAAAAGCCTGCTGCATCTGTTTGAGTAGACGTGGCAATGAGACAAATATATATATACATGTATACACTGTAGGAACAGATGCTCTTAAAACTGACTCTCCAGCCTAAACTCCTAGGCAAAATTACCCCTGTAAGGGACTTTCATTAGTATTGCTTTTTTCTCAGTACAATTCCTGGCCTAATCTTGGAAGAAACAAAGAATCAAGTCAGATATGTGCTCAATAATCGAGGCATTAGTGCAGTGAAACAGCAGCATAGTTTTGAAAACTGAAAAACATAAAATAAAAAATAATAGTGAGGACTAAATCAAAGTCACATACTTCAGTACAACACCACACACTCACAACACAACAAAGAATGGGAGAATGAAACTAATCTTTGGATAAAAAAAGCAGTAGATATATTTTTTAAATCTTGCATGACCAAGAAGGGAATGCCAAGAAAAGCCTCAAGTGTGACAAGGCGCACATGTGGAATAGTCTTGTTCTCTCCATCAGTTCCAGAGCAGAGCACATTTCCTTTTGCACACTGTTTCTGAAAAAGCAAAGAGCTAGAGGAATTTAGAATGGTTATTTTTTCTGCAAAGCACAAATTCCTTTAAAGATTGGGAAAAATTGTGTCTGCAGATCACAGAGGTACTTGCCATATGACTGTGGTAAATGAGAAAGTAAATAGACAGAGCCATTTGACGATTACAGCTCTGACAAGCCTACCCACAGGGAAGGCCAAAGGTGGTTACTGGACAGCAATATGTCCTGAACACTTCATGCCCTGCAAGAAGAGTCACAAAGATGCACATTCTATGACTTTGTTCAGGACCAGTTGGAAGCACTTTGCTGCCCTATTCATGGTGGTCATTTTGAGAGTGCAGAGGATTTTGCACCACATTCCTAGAGCTCAGCTGGAGAGTGCCTGCTTTGCATGCCCAAAGGTCCTGGGCTCAATCACTGGAAAAGGATCTGGGGTGATTGCTGGAGTGAGATATACTGGATCCATTGCCAGTTTGAGAAGGTAATACTGGGCTAGATGGACGGGGCAGGACAGATAAGCCAGCCTTGCCCAACAAACTGGCTACTCTCAAGATGTTTCAGATTACAACTTCCACCAGCCGCTGATACAAACCTTTCGAGAGGAACACCAAAAACACAACTTGCATGCTGCTTCTGGCAAGGCAGGAGCCCCACTGGAGTTGTGCCACTCTAGGCAGCTGCCAAGTCTGCCTACCATGGTTGAGCCAGCTGCAATACTCTTGCTGTAACTCAGCACAGCTAGAAGTCTCAAGGGATGGGTCCAATTCCACACCGTAGCCCTGAAGCCAACATAAAATGGTAGGCTTTGTTCATCTAAAATAAAAATAATGTCACAGTATGGAGCACTATATCTCCATGGCTGTTTGAGCCTCCCCAGTTCTAACGCTATGATGAAGACCATGTAGGAGAGATTATAGAAGCAGGATAGAGAGTGTGACGGATGCCTCTGTGCATCCTCCCCATGTGGATGGACCCCAGGGGTGGGAGGTGTGCCAGGCCATGTCCCTCTCCCCTTCTCCCCCTTCTGGTGATGCAAGAGTAAAAAGCGTTCGTACTACTGCTGAGAATAAAGCTCTTGGCGGGGGGGGGGGGGGTCAGCAGACACACAAACCATCACGCTTCTTGCAAGATTCTAGCCATACCTTCCCGTGCCTCTACCGCTTCTACTGTGGCTGTAATACAGAAGGAACAGTGGCATGCAAAAATGAAGACAGAAAAGAGTGAGTGAACTGTAACATAACCATGGTTGTTAGAGATCTACAACCCTCCCAGTCCCAACCAAGGAGGATTGTGAAGACAACCAGTGGAAGAGGATGGTGGCAATAGGGCAGAGAGACAGAGGGGAGTTATAGTTTTCTTCCTTAAACCTAATTATCCCAAGCCCCAAGGGGAAAAAGAACAGAGAATGGCAGGACTGTTCTGTCATTGAACCAGGAGTCCAACGGATGTCGTGGAGGTAGCTTCTTCCATGACTGATAGGACCAGGCAGCAACATATCCCCATTGGTGCACACAGCTGCATTTAATAGCCACAGCTGCAATCAACAGCACATGGCTGGAAACAACACATATTTTCCTCAGAAAAGAGTATAATAGAAGGGATACTTGCTTGTTCCATGCTTCAGCCCCAGACTTAACCTGCTTTGTTTAACACCAGATCAATCCCACCTCCCAAAATGGTTTTATAACTATGTCATATCATTTCCTGCATGCCCCTTCAAATAGCTGGTTTGGTTATGGCCCCTGCCTTTGGAACCAGCTGCCCTCAGACAGCTGCAAGGAGATCTGTGGCAGTTGTTTCAGAAACAATACAGAACAATTCTTATTTAGGAGCACTTTAGCAACATGTATTTTGCTGAGCTTTGATGCTCTAGCTTTGATTTGTATTTTCAGAGCATTCTAGCACAACATACAACAAATTCACTTTTAAAATAAATAAAACAGATCATGTCTGAGCAATGTCAGGGGGCCATTCTTGCATGTTGGCCTGTGTGGTTCCAAACTGCCAGAGATAATATGACTACTGTAAAGTGTGTTTTGCCATGACAGTTCATGTTTCTTTAAATATATATTCATGTTACCTTCTCACTTTGTCTGGGAGTTTCTAAAGCAGGCATAGGCAAACTCAGCCCTCCAGATGTTTTGGGACCACAATGCCCATCATCCCTGACCACTGGTCCTGTTAGCTAGGGATGATGGGAGTTGGAGGGCCGAGCTTGCCTATGTCTGTCCAAAGGTACATGACAGATTGCCAATGGAGAGAATTCTAAACACACTGAGAGTCCCAGTAACCCAGATCATCCACTAACAAGACCAAATTGCGTATAAAAGTGTGTACTAAATTCCCATTTAAACAAAATAACCATATACACATACAACAGATAACCACAGCATACACATATATCAATATCATGAAACCACAATGGAGCACTGGTTAAAATCCAGTTCAGCTGAATGCGGCCTTTATCAAATCTATGTGAAACAGAAGTCCTAACTTGTTGGGAAAGAGATTTGTGGTGGTGCCACAGTATCACTTCAAAAAGAATGGTGCTTTGGGGTGATGCAACAGCTGTGACAATAGGCCCTTGGTGAAAGCACACCATGGCAAAAGGGCCATGCTTCCTGGCTGGCTGTTGCTCACACGTGCTATGTAATGGTGGGGACCTTTCTGATACATGACTAGAGCACAGCTCCCATGTTTTCAAGATCTGGCATATCCAGGCACTATCTTCAAAGGCTTTGATGGCATCAAACTTTTTTCCAAGTGTTGAGAGTTCATCCTGGAACTCTCTGATATGAAATACATGGATTGATCTGAGTTGCACCTCAGTGCTGGAACTGCTGGTGATAAAGCATCCCTGTTGAGGCTCTTCATTTTGGGGGGCATAACGAAGAGGTCTTGGTTTCTGTGCTGGGCTGGAGCTGGATTAAAACATTACCTGACAGCTACAGCATGCAAGTTTGTGAAGACTAAGACAAAGTTCAGGATCTCTGATCTCATGATCCAGGAAACAAGTCCTGTTTTTCATGCAACAAATGACACATTAAAGGAGACTGAATGCCTCCCTGAACACAGTGCTGGACCTTAGTGAAAACCACTGCTCAGCCAGCCACAAATCCCTCTATGCAGCCTTGGGTAAAGTTGCCAGCTCTCAGCCTCAGGATTACCAGAGGCTTGCATGGGAGAGCACAACCTTAAAAAACAGGTGTGCAAAGACATTGTTACTGATAGAACACTGGTCTCAGAGACAATTCTAGAAGGAGATAATTTGGATTATATTAGCTAAGTAGCTATTTTTTAAAAAAGGTGGAATGAATGGAGGTATGAAACTGAGTAGGATACAGGCCTGAGTAGAGCTGATGCTCTGGTGTACAAAGGGAGAGTTTTCAGGCAATGAGGACAAAGGCAGGGAAATGTAAAGTCAGGGATTGGTTGGGAGATGAGGAAGGAGAAACTGCATGCAGAAAACAAAGTATGTGTGAAGATTAAATGCGACAGAGAAACAGGAGGAAATGAGCAGGAGAATGTGTTCTCTTTACTGAAGCTCAAAACAGATCCTGTAAAGTTACAATGCTCATAAAATTCATATGCTTAATTTCAGTGTGATGACGCTTCAGTGGAAGCTTTTAGATGCTTATGTTTGGAGGTTTCTATGAAGTTTAAAAATCCGATGTAGCAATAGTTAAAAACAGTCAGCCAAGTTATTAGACACCTAGTCAGTCTCTAAAGCACATGGTTCAGCCTGATTTATTGCAGAGCTCAAGAAAGGGAGTTCTTGACACCTATGCCTTCATCTGCCAACTTCCTATTCCATTAGAGAGAAAAAACATGTTCAACTATCTGGAAGATTAAGTCTAGCCTTCCCCTGCAAGAAAGAAGGGAAATCACCACCTCCTTTGACCATGGAAGATTCTGCTACAATATTCTCCCATGTGAGAAATTTAAAATCTAGGCTAGCAAGTGCCAAAGCAAGCCTCTTTCCAGTACACCAGGAAGTCATCCAACATTGATGAGAAATAAAATCACCTGGCTCAATGCCAAACATGAAGGCTGGCAGCAGAAAAGGATTAAAACACTAGATCACAGGGTTCCCTCTAGAGAATGGGTGGGCAAACTAAGGCCTGGGCCAATCACCTTCTAAATCCAGCCCACGGATGGTCTGGGAATCAGCATGTTTTTACATGAGTAGAATGTGTCCTTTTATTTAAAAGTTATTTGTCTGGGTTATTTGTGGGGCATAGGAATTCGTTCATTCCCCCCCCCAAATATAGTCCTGCCCCCCACAAGGTCTGAGGGACAGTGGACCGGCCCCCCTGCTGAAAAAGTTTGCTGACCCCTGCTCTAGAGAGACATGTTGCTATAACTCATTTGCTGACCTCACAACCAGTCATGATTGCCCACAAAGCTTGACCTTCAGTGCTATCTGCAGTAGATTAACAAAATTTAACACAATATCACCTTAATGTGGGAAAAAGCAAGTGTGCTGTTCTGGAAGAGTGTACATGTGACAAGACAGGAAGTATACACTGGAGCTGAAAAAATATTTGCAAATATTCACAATTTCCCAACACTTCAGATTTTGGGTGTGCAATTTTATCTCAACATTAAGAAAGCTGAGTTCTTTAGATTTGCTGGGATCTCTTGATTGCTTTGATTTTGGCAGGTGTGAAAAAAACCTAGAACTGTATTAGCTATTGACAATCACAATACTAAATGTCATTGAAAAAGAATGGCCTTCTCTAAAACTTTTTCTTATGGGGAAGTGTGTACAGGCAAACAATGATGCATGAAGAAAACTCCCTAAAGATGCATCCAGACTGGTAGGTTTTGGGGTTGCTGTTTGTAGGATCTGCCACTGATATTCACAAAAGGAAGGGACAAATTCCAACACTGCACAACATGATGAGTCACTATTTGTACACGTGTTTGTGTACAAATGCTTTTACCTCAATTCAGGAGCTTGTATGTCAGTTTCAGGGCAGGATGAAGCAAAGGCCAAGCAAGAGCAAGGAAGCTGTAGCCCAAAGCCAACAGAGAGCAGTAAGAGCTGGATCTCCTACTGGGCAGACCTGTGAGCAAGTCTGACCAGGAAGCCTATCTAGGGATTTGGGAGAACTATCCAAGCTGCACTGACCTGATGGTGCACATGGGCTTCCTTGCAGACACATTTGGCCAATGCTGGCTGGCTGGTTGCTTGCAAGCAGAATCTCAGATTCACATCTCATAAGTTGCCTGTTTAAGATCAACTGTGTGTGTGCTAGAGTCCTAAAATGCTGAGCTAATTAATCTCAACCCAAGTCTTGTGATGTCTTTCTCTTCCTGGTATTTGCTCGTACCCCTTGCCTAGATTCTTTCTTTCTTTTTAAATAGTTGTTTGTGGATTTGTCCTATTGCACTCATCCATCTAATTTCATCAGTTTATCTCTTTCAGTAGATGCTAAACCTGGCTGTGGCACTATACTAGAGGGTAGGAAAGAATGATCTACAACCAGAAACAGCTTAATAGTTTTAACATCTGGTATACAGCTATGAGAGTGCCTCAGTGCAACAGTGTAAACTTAAGTTTTGTTTTCTCTTCATCAAAACTGCAATGGGTGTATATGGAGCTGGCAATTGTGCACAGATTAGTTCCAGTCATAGAATCATCCTAGAGTTGGAAGAGACCACAAGGGCCATCGAGTCCAACCCCCTGCCAAGCAGGAAACACCATCAGAGCACTCCTGACATATGGTTGTCAAGCCTCTGCTTAAAGACCTCCAAAGACGGAGACTCCACCACACTCCTTGGCAGCAAATTCCACTGTCAAACAGCTCTTACTGTCAGGAAGTTCTTCCTAATGTTTCCTGTCCATGAAGGACAAGAATGAAATGACATAAAAAGCCAAGGAAAAAGTGGTCTGCACACATCATAAGCACTGGTGCCTGTGCCCCAGCCCAAGTTGTCTGAGAAGGACACATAAGCATAAATGTCCATATTAAAAACCTACCCAGAAAGAGAATCTGAAACTCACAGCTGTTAGTTTTCAATGTTAGCACCGAGAACAGATGGGCTTAGTACAGGAGGGAACAAAAAAGCAGGCTGATGGCATTTGTACATGCTCTTACACAGCAGCAGAAGTCTAAAGGGCAACTGCTGTTAAAGAGATGAAATCTGAATAGTTGTTCAAAGAACATATTCCAGAACACTATGCAAGTTTCAAGTCTCTATTCCCAGCAAGATCACCAGCTATGACAACATCATACAAATGCCTTGGACAAAATCCTTTCCTCAAGTCCCATTGCCAGGTTTCTATTAAATTAGTCCAAGTGTTCTCAGCCTCTCCTATTATTCTCCTCTAAGCTTCATTCACAGAATAATAGAATAAAAGAACTGTAGAGTTGGAAGGGATAACAAGGGTCATCTAGTCCAACCCCCTGCAATGCAGGGATCTTTCGCCCAACGTGGGGCTCAAACACACAACCCTGAGATTAAGAGTCCCATGCTCCACCAACTGAGCTTCTCCCCCCCCCCCCATTCAGTGCCAGAGTTAAAGGCCTGTAAGCTTATGGGGACATCTAAAGCCCATCTTTTCTGGTGACAGAACTGCAGATACTATGAAGGGAAGGGGAAGGGGAAGGGAAGGTAGCAGTGGAAATATCAGTGCCTCCCCCACAAAACCTAGATGATCTCTTAACACGTCACATCTGGTTTTATCCTGCACATATACTAGGAGTGCCAGCTTGGCCCCGCAACCATGAGTGCCCAGGGCTGTGGGTGCCATGCAGCGTGCATGGCCCTGGCACCAAAATTTGTGGATGCCGAGGCCCTTCATGGGGAATTTTGTGGGTGCTTGAGCACCCAGGGCCCCAGGGAGTTGGCACCTATGACATATACATACCCGTCTGTAGAGTCTGTTTCCCCCCTGAGAGGACTCCCAGGGGCAGAGTACCTGTAGGAGTCAGTCCTTTGAGCATCAGAACACTCTCACTCTCCTCCCTGCAAGAAAAAGAGGCAAAATGACCAATTATATCTGATCCCACCTCTTAGGTTTCCTCAGATGTACACTCAAGATCTTTTTAGGGAACTGCTAAACATTTTAATGTGTGTGAAATTGTTAAGTTTGTAAATACGTGAGCCATAAAGCTGCATTTAGAGCTGGGTTTGGATACACCTCCCTGTTGAGCATATATTTGCTGGCCTGTAGACAGGGCAGCAACAGAGCATGATTTGCATGCAGGTCCCCAATTCCATCTCTGGCATCGCCCATAAAAACAGAAGTGAGGAACCTCTGGCCTGTGGACCAAGTTGGGCTCACCTTGGGTCCCAATTTAGCCCCAAAGGCCTTTTTCCTCAAACCACAGCCACCTGTCCCACACCTGACAACAGGTGTAGAGCAGGAAGAGACCCAGCTGAATCTCTGTGGGAAGCTCCATCAGGCAGTCAACCCCTGCATAAAGCAGCTTCGCCAGCTTCACACTGCCCTTCCCAAGCACGCGACAATGAGCTGGCTGTCAGGCACTCAGAAGATGCTGGGCAAGGGACCTTTGACAGGTGTGCAGGCACATCCACCTGTCCTTTGTCTGTTCTTATATCTTCATAATTGAATCAGGTGACTGACAGGTGGGTTAATCCCACCAATATGTTGAAGTTGGCCCATGAGGGTAGGGACAGATAACAGTCTGGTCCACTGGGCCAAAAATATTCCCCACCTCTGAATTAAAAGAATAAATTTCACATGATGGGAAAGACCTTTGCCTTGAGACTCTGGACAGACAATACTGGGCTAGAGAGAAACAATTTTACACTGTACAAGGCAGCTTCCAATCATGTGTAAAACAGCATTTAAGAATCAAATCTTGGGGTTTTTTTTAGGGGGGGTTGGAATCTATTGATCAAAACAAAAATCCAAAGTCCACAAAGGTCTTGTACCCCCTCCCCAATTATGATAGAAGAAAGGTGGAATATGAATGTACTAAGAAAAAAAATCCCTGAACAATCCCTACTGACACTTTACATTTCTAACAGTCCTGCAATGGGAGCAGCTTGGCTGTAACATTTACAAGACCACCACTGTGTAGGGTCTTTCCCACAGAATTGGTTCCCTGCCGGGATTGCCGGGAGAGTGCAAATTCCAGGTGATAGTCCCACATGAATCAGTCCTGCAGCAGTGGACTTTTAAACATTTAACATGCACTGGTCCAAAACTTGCCAACCTTTCATTCTCTGCCCTGGTGCAGCCAGGGCAATCTGGCAAAATGATATTCCCTCTCTCTCAAGCTGAGATTCACCAAAGCGAGCAAACTTACCGAAGAACTGAAAAGACTCGTGCCATCTTCCCAATGGCTCTGATCTTATTCCTGATGATCTCTTTACGGGCATTGGTGCCTCCTTAGGAAAAAAATCAAAAAGGGTTTAAAAGAATGAGGGAGGAAAACAACTAAGGCTCAGGCAATGCCAGTATGAAGCATCTGCTTGGCTCTAGGAAAGAGAAATCCGATTACAACTTTACAGCTAAATTCCATAGAATGGTAATGAACTGAATGAAAGGGGCAGCAAGTGATGGACAGAATGACACACAAAGAGGAAGTCCAAACAGGGGGAAGTAGGAGCACCAGAAGTAGTAGGACAAGTGTTGATCGGAGCAGCAGACCTCTTTGCCTGCCCAGACATGTTTGACCACAGTACACATGAGATGTAACATGAATGACTCAGCCATTGAGACACAGTTTTGCAAGGCAAGAACACAACTACAAGCCCAAGTGAGGGTGAAGACATCAGGATGCTGGCTGTGCTTGCAGAAGGGAGAGCGGTCACACAAGCACCACCTTTGGCATAGACGCAGACAAAGGAATGGCTGGAATCTTGTGGTTTTGCTTGAGTCCTCAACGAATACAATGTGCTAGGGATAAGTACACTCCCTTTTACTACACAGACCAAACATGGACTGAAAAGCATGGGGGTTCTGGGAGCTCAACTGTACACTGAATGATAAATACATCTCCTCTAAGCTAAGATCTTCTTTTTTAATTGCCCACCTATGCATTAAGAACAGGACAAGCCAAACTGGAGAACTGACATGCACCAATGGATCAGCCATGCACAAGGTGGCTGCATTCAAACGTCAAAGAGAAACGTGACCCCCATCACTCTGGTTCCTGGTGGAACACAACAGGGTTGGAAAAAAGAAACAAAAACCAAATGCACCACGTTCATGTTAAAACTGATGGGGAAGAAGGGGGAAATGGCGAGACTGTTCAACTAGTCAGCTATTCAAAATCCACTCCAAGGAAATCTGGTGGCACAGGCAGTGAGAATTAAGCTTTTAGCAAATTCTAGCTGGGTACCTTTCGGATAGCTTGAAATGTAGTTATCTTCAGGGAGAGGAGACACCAAGTAACAAGGAGATGAAGACAGAGATAGAAGAAACAAATTTAAATTTCCATGGGAGGGAGGGAATAACATTTCTTTTTTAAGTGCAATGGGACATGAAGGTTAGCGCTGGGTCAGCTGGTAGTTCTCTTCTGCACCCGTGTCATGCTCACTTGGCTGTCAGACTCCAGATGGACAAATCAATTTTCCTTCTGTCTCTCAGATGCATAAGACTCTTAATCTCCGGGGCATAGGTATGAGCCCCACATTGGGCAGAAGATTCCTGCATTGAAGGGGGTTGGACTAGACGGCCCTCGTGGTCCTTTACAACTCTACAATTCTATAAACTACTAGCAAGGGCCAAAAAGGAGGAGGTTGGATCTATTTCTGCAGATTGTGCAAAAAGGATGGAAAGGCCAATCCAATGACCAATGATCAAAAGAATTGATCTAGCAGTGCAAAATGCCAGTATTTTTTAAACAATTAAGCAGCAAAGGAAGACAGCAAAAATTCCTATAATTGTAATAATATCAGAAAAGTAGTCTTCAGTTTTCCTGCATACTTAGTTGTCACTAGTTTAACACTGCACACTGTTGGGTAGCCTTCCAGAGAGTTGGCATCATAGAGATGCCATTGCCTGTTCGGTCTTTGTGCCCCCTCTCGCATAATTAACTAGTTATGTGGGTTCCTCGAGCACTTCAGGCTGAACCTTGGGAAAGCCAAAAGCCCCCAGAAGCATGACCAGTAGTTTTGCAAAAATACATGCGTACATTTTGTTGCAACTGTCACAGATGCATACGAAAGAGTGCCCATGATGATCAGCTGCTCCGCCACCCACAGGCTCAGAATATTTCTGGAACTGAGGGATTTTTTTAAATCTTATAAAAGATGGGTGCATATCTACATATGCAGTTAAAATGTGCAATTTCTTTCAGAAGTGAAACTGAGTGGACTGGAAGTTGATTATTATATCTGGACAAGCCAATTTCACAACTCCATCCATCTGTATTGGGGCGTAAGGAGCAGCAGCAGCTGCTCACGCTGGTCAGGCTTCCTCTTCCTAACTCTCCTTTCCTCCTTCATTCCATCTGAACAAATACCAAGTTACTGCTGCTGGATCAAGGAAACCACCATAGTGGGAGGTGGGAGGGAGGGCGCAGAGTGGCTCTTATTACGCTAGAGAAGTAATTGTCTGTAAAACAGCCAAAGACAGTGAGCTTAAACTATGAATGAAAAAGATGGCAACAAAAAGGTGCTAAGAACAAGGCAGCACATCCAGCTTTGAATGTCATTTCTTCCAAAAGTGCTTGAAAGCAACCAAACCTAACCCACCCTGAAAAAGTAAAAAGGTTTTGTTACCGTCCAACGCTTCATCTCCATCTGAAATGAGCTCATCATCAGAGCAGATGTTAAGGATGTTAACCAGCATCTCTGTAACTGCAGGAAATAATGAGAAATGGGCAAGAGATTAGAGATTTGGTGTGCGCACGTGTTTATGTGTGTATCTATATCTGCCACAGCATGTGAATGGGCTTGTTCACATATAATATACATCATGGATTATTACGTGAACAAACCTTGTGCTTGTATGCTTCCTATTCCTCAAACACGCTCTGTTTCAATGCCTGCCAAAGTAGGATTGGAAACCAACTTCAAACTGTTATTTGCAATGCTGTCTTGGAGGGCAAACATACACTGTTTGCTGGTTCAGATACCGAAAGCAAACTACGCCTTGCGCTTAAAAAGTTCTGTTTTATCCCTGAACACCATTTTCTCTGGTTATGGTGCTTCTTAAACTCCTTCAAGCTATAACCTAAAGTCCCCAAACAATTTTCCCCATCAGAACTCCCAATTCCCAATTCATTATTGGAGAACAGTAGAACCAGAGACAGTGTACAAGCAGGATTGCTTACACAGCAAACAAAGCAATACAGTTTGGTGTTAGGTGTGAACCATGCCAATATGACATTACGTGTATAAAAATGCAGGCTGGGGAGCACATAACACACATATATAAAATACTCAACTGAAATTAAATTTCAGTTACATAAAACCTAACAAATGTTAGAACAGCTACTTAATCCTTCTACTCCTCTCAGCTGAAACAAAGGTTATGCATGTACAACTACATCTACACAGATTTATCTCCCATTATTTGCATTTTATAAACTGATTTTCAAATATTTTATTTATTATATCCCTCCCTCCCAAGGTAGCCAAGCAGTTGTTTTGTTGTTGATTTTAATATTCACCATAAACTATTTATTACATTTTTGTTCAATCTTTGTTCCAAGGAGTTTGATGCCGCACATACCATGTGCCCTCCATTTTAATAATAATAATAAATTTTATTTATACCCTGCCCTCCCTAGCCAAGACTGGGCTTAGGGCAGCTAACACCCGATATAAAACAACTGATTGAAATACAACTTAAAAAACAAGATTAAAATACAACATTAAAACATTAAAATATTAAAATGCAGCCTCCTTTCAGTGGAAACTGAAATCAAAAACTTTTGGGGGGATAAAAATGTCAATTCTTCACCAAGGCTATCCTCACAACAACCTGAGAGAGTACAACTGGTCTAAGATTACCTAGTCAGCTTCATGTCTGAATGGGGATTTAAGGATTTTTAAAGCTGAAAACAGTACATAAATGCTGTAAACACACAAGTACCCTGATTTTTGAACCTGAGACAATATATTTTGAAAATTTCCTATGACACAATAATGGCCACTAACATGCTTATTTTTTATTTTATATATTTTTTTAAAAAATAGAAGGTTGAGTGCCTGAAGGCCAAATTTTGCAGAATTTTCTAAATTCTTTGCTTCAGGAGTGAGCAAGCTAGCAAAATCCACAAATATCTCTCCTTTATGGCAGCAACAGACCGCCCAAGGCTACATCCAGCCTAGTCAATCCTATTGCGTCAGGAGGATCTGTTTTCCTGCTCCTTTGCTTTGCTTATCAATAATTTTATTGGGCAATCTCCTTCTTACCCTTTTCCCCTACGAAAGGCAAAGACCACGTGAAAACATCCATGAAGTTTGGAAGCCAGTAAGGGTGTGGAGAACAGTTGAACTGCCTGATGTTCATGACATTGTTTTCATATTTCAGCACAGCAGCTAGAAGAAAACAAGAGGGAGAAAGAGAAATTACAAGAGTGCTGATTTTATCTTTGTCCTCCAGGGTTACACAACTTAGGAAATGCAATTATACAGCTGTGTAAAGAAATCCCTATGAAAATCAGACACCCTCTATGAGAGAGGCAGTAAGGAATGTCAAAATATCCATCAGACATCAGGTGAAATTTACTGTTACAAGTGTTGTTTTTCTTCTGATAAAAGTTTTAAGAGTGAATTTCATATGTTGTTTTTAAATTTTGGAATGTGTATTAAATGTTGTTACCTATCCTGCAGTCTTCTGAAGAAGGATGGGGAGAAATCATATAAATAAAATTATTATTATTATTATTATTATTTTATTATTGCAAGAAGATCAAACGCATCCATTCTTAAGGAAATCAGCCCTGAGTGCTCACTGGAAGGACAGATCGTGAAGCTGAGGCTCCAATACTTTGGCCACCTCATGAGAAGAGAAGACACCCAGGAAAAGACCCTGATGTTGGGAAAGATGGATGGTACAAGGAGAAGGGGACAACAGAGGATGAGATGGTTGGATAGTGTTCTCGAAGCTACAAACATGAGCCTGACCAAACTGCGGGAGGCGGTGGAAGACAGGAGTGCCTGGCGTACTCTGGTCCATGGGGTCACGAAGAGTCGGACACGACTAAACGACTAAACAACAACAGCCTATGCTTTAATGCCACATGACTTTAAGGCCTCAGACTCATACACTGTCGCTTCCCCTCCAGCACAGCTGCGGTCAATAGATTGGAAGCACTTCCTTCAGTAGTCAAGAAGTGCTGGCTTGTAATTTCATCTGAAGCAGGACAAGCTGTTTAGTCTGATCTCGATGTTTTCATTGTGTTTTTTTGATATGTGCCCAGAGTGGCTGGGGAAAATAATAATAATTATTATTACTGTGGTTTGCTGAAACAAGCACAATTCAGATGACGGTCCACAAGTCTGCATTTCTTGGACAGATTGGGGCTTCCACATGCTGTAGAGGTTATGCTCTAGGGGCCACAGTATGTTAAAGTAACTGAAGTTATTGGATGACTGCAGTTACCGTAGCTGAAAATGGAAGCAAGTGCTTCCTATCTCCTCCCCATGGCCACTGGAGGAGTGGGGAGCAGCCTCGTGCACTTTACACTAAACTATGGGTTAGTGTTAAATCCAAACTAGGTCAGTAACTACTTTAGAACAAACACTATTTCTAACATACAAGCTTCAGTGGAATTGCATTTAATTGATTCTGGTTCAGTCCTTCCAAGATTGTATTTATCACATTTACACTCACTCTTCTTCCAAAGAGCTGAGGGTTACATGAATTATTCCCTTGTTTCCTCATTGATAGTAAGATAGCTAAGTAGGGGGGCCACTGGGGGCGCCTTGGAAGATGGCCGACAATATCATCTACCCGGCTCGCACAAGGTAATTAGAGGCTGATTATGGGGAGTAAAATCAGTCTCCCTCTTCTTCCCAGGGGGTGGGAAGATGCTGCCTCGCCCGCGGTTGCCCATAAATCACCCCCGAGTTCGAAAGAAGCAGGGGGTGGGGGCACTGGGCGGATAGCTCTCGTGCGAGCTCGGAGCTCCCGGATGCCGCTTTCAAGAGCGAAACTGGTTGCGTTGCTTAAAAGGGGGGAAAATGGAGAAGTAAACGCACATGCTTCGAGCGAGGTCAGGAGGGTATTATCTGCTAAATAATTCTACCACTGAGACGATGAATGATGGGACGGAAGGAACAGAAGACAGCATCAAAGAACTACAGACATTTCGGTATGTTGAACGGAACAGAAAGGGGGAAAAACTTTCTTCTTTTTTAATATGATTACCTAACAACCCTCCCCCTTAGAAGAACCGTCACAACAACTAATTGTAAGTGAGATGAAAAATAAACTGTGTGGGAAAGAAAAATATATAAAAGGTTTTACTTCGTGAAAAGATCTGGAAAGATCTTTGTGGCGTAGTTACAAAAGTGATCCACCATTGAGAGGCAGACCTCGTTGTAAGATTTGTAGTCTTAGGGAGGATGAGCCGCTGTTTTGGTGTCAGGTTTGGATCGTAAATTCGAAAGGGCGATCACCCTCCTGGAAAGACTGATTTATGATACAACGGGTCTGAGAAAATTAACGGACATTTAGACTGTATTTCATTGGAACTGAATAAGATGGCGACGGCTGCTCGAATGGGACTCTTGGACTATTGGATCTATGTGAGATGAATTACGGGAGAGCATTACAAAGTTCACACAGAAATATAAACAAGACTGTTTCTTTCAACTCACTTGTGGAGATAACTCGGAGGTGACTGAGAAGAAAAAGGGTAACGACAAGGAGATGAGAGGATGGGACTGTGAACATCAAAGCAGCAGAAAATATAAGATGATTGGACTCCTACCGATCTTGAAGCATGGGTACTCCCACAAAAATTTATAATTTGGCAAAATAATTGGATTTGGATTTTATGATTTGTATTGGTATGATTTGGAATAATTAATATGATTTGATTGGTATGGTATATGGAAACTTAATAAAAATTATTGGGGGGGGGGAGATAGTAAGATAGCTAAGTAAGGTTGAGCCACACAGTAAACCTCTGAATGAGCAATGATTTGAATGCAGACACCGCTGCTCCAAATCCCAACCATCCCTCTCAGATGACACATCTTCTGTACCCCACTTACATGGAATTGTTCCTGCAAATCTGTGGGGACCCAACATTTCTGGCAGAATGCCCAAGCACAAACCATGTCCATTTTAGGAAACCAAGTATTAAGAAGCAAAAGATAAGGTAAGCAAGAGCTAGAGATTCTATTCAAAGTGGACACATCAAGACATCAGGAAAGAATTCATCATAACCTCACATGGGCATCCTGGGCACAGTCAAAATCTTACCCTTGTTGTTATAGACATCTAGATAATTTGGTGCAGAAAAGATTGTGATTAGGGATGGAAAGCCTGTAGTCTGGCTCTTTCTGTACATTCGGTACCTGGAAAAGTGAGCAGAAGATAGGCAGGCTTTTGCAAATACATAAAGACAACAAAGCTGCTGAACACAGCACCAGAATAGTGACTCTGAACTTACCCAGCATCCTGGGCTTCATGTGCTCGAATCACAGATAACAAATTATTATTTTGCAAAAATTCACAAATTGCAGGGTAACTGAAAAAGAAGTTTTAAAAAGCAATATTAACACATGCTGAAGGCAGTCATCATCACATTTGTTTTCTGTCTTTTTCCCAAGAGGGATGATGATATACAAGTTAGGAACATTCTACTTTTGCCCCAAATTATTCTAATCACCTTGCAAAGATAGGTTAGGTTGAAAGAACTGAAGATAGGTTGACTTGCCCCGTTGTGGCTCAATAGGGATTTGAACCTACATCTCCACAGTCCAACTCCAACTTTCTACACAGCCTGAGGGAGGGTGAGGGCTACAACAAAACTTTTTTAAAAAATAAAATTTAATGCTGGAGATGCGAACTTAGTACATATGCTGATTAACTGCCCGATAAGATCATTTTGGTGCGAGGCGAGGATATTTATAGCAAGAGTAATAAAAATAAATTGTTATTTAGTGGAACTGAATTTAATTCTAAATTATATTCCTGAAACATGGGAGATTTCAAGGGGTCAAAAAAATGGATGTACTGTGCTATATTAGAAGCAAAAAAACTTGTTTTGATGAAATGGAAGAGCCACAAAAAGATTCCATTGAGCACATGGATTGATAATATGGACATACGAACAAATTGCATGTCGTCGCAAAATAAGAATGGATAAATATGAAGAAATCTGGAACAAATATTTAAGCGATAAGGCAGATAGTGGTGGGAAGTAGGGGAAGGAGAGAGAGGTGGGAAAATATTGATTAAAAAGGGGTAGTCATAGGTATATCAGTGTATTCAAATCTGAATTGTCAAATTGTGTTATTATTGTTATTGTGGTTTTTGTTGTATGTGTCTTTTGCGGTTGATGTTTGTATTGAAAAAATTAGGGCTACAACAAAACTTGACTATTGTTAGGGCTGCTAAGCACCTAGAATTCAAACTAACATTTATGGAAACTGGGAATTTGTGGTGATCCTGAGGCCATCCAAATAAACATTCAGAGGGACTTGTGAAGCAAATAACATTCAGATTCAAGATATATTGCTTTGCTAAATAAAACTTGCTTGGCAAGTTTTAAAGTTCTGATAAGTCCACACAAACTTGTTCTAGTATTTCTGAAATCCTCCAGGCACATCTTTGACCTTGTAAACAACTCAGAAAGCCACAAACGAATGGCTTTTCGGTTTTACAAGAGGGAAAATTCATAGGGAATTCAGTAGTAATACAAGTTGTATTTTTAAGACAGCAACAATCACAAGTGGGACAGAGTCCCACTCAAAGCCCTGGAACAGAGTGGTTTGAGCACAGCAACTGGGACTTCACACTACTACCTTTTCACTTAACCAAGGGTTATGTTTGAAATGTTTCCTACCTGTAGAAATAGGAGCAACCTCGAACAGTGTTGTGGGTAAAATGTTCCAGTGTCTTCTCATTGCCATAATCCTCTGATGGATCAGACCACAGCAGGTCACACATTGGACCAAAGGCTGGAGGCTCCTTAAACCTGTCTAACTGAAAGGCGCACACACAGAAAAGCCAAAAAAAAAAGAAAGAAAAAAAAGATAATTGATATAAACATACAGAATTAAGGGAACTCATAATAAGTGCATGCCAAAACACAGTGCATGAGAAAAAAACCTCAATTCATCTGTGCTAGATAAACATAGTTTATGATGTCACATCTAAGAAACAAACATTGCCTATACAAGCGCTGATTTCTAAGTGTGGAAGACTTACGAATAGGGAATCCACTTCCCCCCTCAAGATATAAGAAAATTTTAATCATTCAATCTCTGTAAGGATTAGCAGTGTTTCTCAAACTTGGGCCTCCATCTGCTTCCAGACTTCCCACCATCCCTGGCCACTGGTTCTGCTAGCTAGGGATGATGGGAGTTGTAGTCCAAAAACAGCTGGAGACTCAAGTTTGAGAAACCCTGGATTAAAGGCAACACACATTTCTTTTTCCAACTGCTTAATTTGTCTTTGAAGGAGAACAAAGAAGTTCCAATCCAATCCAAATCTTTATGATGTTCATAAACCAGCATACACAAAGTTCAACCCTCAGAGGCCTAGCAAGGTCAGGTGGTACCAAGTGCAATTTTTTTTGGTCAAACCCCCTCCCCCATCGATGGCTCGGGGTAGGCTTGGGAGTCATGGCGTGTGTCATGCCGAATGTCACCCCCCTCAGCGATGACACCCTGGGCTGCCCCCCCCCCAATCTCCTCTGGCCTTGACCATGCTAATAAAAGGCGACATATATAATGCATAAATTAAAATGCACAAGCATCTGAGAAAGTCATGCTCATAGACACTGTCAAAGAAGTGGGGTTTGGGCATAACGAAGGCGGGAAGGCCGTGATTGTTAAAGTTTGTTCGTGTTTATTGTGATTATTTCCCACCCCCCCCAAATCAGTACATTGAATTAGTGTGTATGCTTTAGTTGAGATTCTGGCTACAATAGAGTGTTGGACTAAATGACCCTCGGGGTCTCTTCCAATTCTATAATTCTACGAAGACCGCAATTTTATTTAATTCGTCCTGAAAATTAAACCACCTCCCTGACTGTTTCTCAACCCCCGTGGAGCGATTCAGGGCTTGGCACTTTGCTTTCCCGAGTCCCTGCAAGTCTCCTTCTGCTACCTTCAGGAATCTCCCCGTTATGTAACACCCTTCTTTGCTTTATACATAGAGGGGGGACGGGGATGGGACATAAGGCAGACACCAGAAAATAACAGAACTGCATATATCTCACCAGGGCATGAAAAAGGGTGCATGGAGGAAAAATAACCAGAGAGTAAGCCTCAGCTTACCAGGAAGGAGGGCGAATGCCGCAAACGCACACAAGTTCCCTGTTGGCACCTTTCCTCTTTCGACCCAGTGGCGGAAAAAGCCGCTCGGGCACCTGGGGTGAGCCGCCCACGTGGCGGGGCGGGGCACACCATGGGGCCTCCGGAGTCTGCCTGCCTCCTCCCACTCAGCCGCCCTACAGCTGGGGGGGAGGCAGCAGGCGGACCGTTTGCGCAGAGCAGAGCCTGCATGCGCCCAAGCCACCGCATCTCTCCCAGGAGAGACGCGTGGCTCAGGCGTTCTGCAGGCCCTGCAGTGAGTGCCACCCAGCATTTTGTCACCCCCTCAGTGGTGACACCCAGGGCGGCCCGCCCCCCCTTCCTCCACCACTGTCAACCCTACAGAACTTCAGCCTGGGATCAGAGAGAAGTGTACATGTCTTTATGCCTGGCAACCCCTTCAACAAGTCTTAGGTAGCCTTAAAAGAAAAGGTGGTGGGGAAACATACCCTGGAGTGGAACCTTGTCAGAATGGGGACAGGTAAGCCTACAAGAAGACCCTAACTGGAACTAGGATACCTGTGCTGTTTTATGGAGGGGAGGTGTGGAGGGAAAAGAAAGAGGCACCACTTACTTTCCTAATATCATCTAGACATGTGATTTCAGGAGACAGCCCTCCATGCACGCACAGAAACTGCTGGTTCAAAAGGGCAGCAAGAGGAAGACAGTCAAATGTATCCATGCATGCATCATACACCCGCTCGGAGTACTTGATTCGACCTGCAGGAAACAGAAGCAAGAGAACTGCAATGACTTATGCAAACTATAAAAGATAAAAAATAAAAAGGCTCCCAGAAAACTGCCAGTCATCTGGACTTAAGAAATACAACTGCCTTGCCTCTTCCTCTCTCTAAGCCAGGACTTTTCCTCCTTTCCTGCTTCGGAGACTTTCCACACCAACATGTCTGCCAAGGAACTGCAGTACATCTCCTGTAGACTCCTTGTCCATTGCAGAAGCTTCTTGGACATGTTCTATGGTGTACATGTAGTTCACATAGAATTGTAGCCATCTATGCTAGGCTTCACCATAGAGTTGCTATATTTCAAACAGTGAATATCTAGACAGAAAACTGTATGTCCTGGAAATTCCGGACTCCGAACTGGGAGTGAACAACAGAACGTACTCTCTAGCACGGGTACCAACTTGAATAGAATATTTGGGGGGCAGGTAAGCCCCACATAATCAATCAATCCATCAATCAATGATACAGCACACACACACCATTTGAATGGCAATGCCCATCAACTTGGGGGGGCTGCCTGGCCCCCTCAAACATTTTATTGGGTGGGCAAAGGGATCTTGACTCCTAAATGTTAGCTCCTATGCTCTCTAGTCCTGCTTCTGCACAGGAGAAGATGGGACAAGCCATCTTCCAGGAAAACTTGGTTACCTGGACTGATTCTCCCACTGAGGAGCATCTGATGAGCTTCCAAGAAACAATTTCAAAACCACTGTCCTGAGCAAGGCTTTCCTGCAGACTCCGGAAGTAGTTAGGGTTTTCTAGGCCTGCTCTAAGTTAGATATGTATTATACATCTTATATTATCTTTATACAACTGATTAGGTGAATTAGTATCTTTAAAATTTGTCATGAAAAGCAGCCCTTGCAAAGACTGCAAATTTATTTAAAACATTTAGACCAAGAGGCTCCCCAAGTGACCTACTAAAGTCAGTCCAGACACCAGTTATTCAACTTACAGCTCTTATAACACAAAGCAATATATTGGTAGGGTTGCCATACGTCTGGAAATTCCTGAACACATCTGGAATACTGCAGTCGAAAGCAGTGTCCATGTGGAAATCACAAAAATGTCCGGGAAAATCCAGACATATGGCAACCCACGTTGGCAGTGCCGTTTTTGGAGATTAAAGATAGCTCAAAAGCTTCTCTCTTTTTTTGCGAATTTGCCAAAAAGGCTCAACAACTTTTTTGTCTCGATTTTCACTGTTTGAAATATATATTGGTATCATAAATAGTGTTAAAAGTGTTGTTTACTCTCTTCTGTAGACTATACGACCCAGAAAGGCAACTAAAGCCAAGGGCAGCTTTCAAAACAAAGAAAGATTTCTTCCCATAAAGTACCTGGCTAATCAGCATAATGTATATATTAAAGTTTGTATATACTCTAGAAGCATAATGATGACTGACAATACAAATCCAGATACCTGGGCTTGTATCTTTTGGTTATGGCATCATCCTTTTAGAAAATGCACTACTTCTTGAAAATTAAGCTTCTGAAGGATTAAAATAAGAATATGGACTATCTTTACAATTACTTCCAAAACATGAGGCTCTCTTGCACATATGGCCACTGTACTTCCAGCTTTTCCTGGAATAAGGCAAACTGTACATGGACTGGGTAAAAGCTAAAAGCAAACATGCACCTCAGATGTGGCATGGTATTAGGAGAGAGAAGGGAGAACAAAGCAAGTACAAGAAATATGAACAAGAAGTTCTACACAACAGCTGTTGATCTGTCTGCCAGTTGCCCCTTCCTGTTTCCTTTTACAGGAGCTGATGGAAGCCTGGAGCAGGGAAGTTCAAACAGGGGAACTTGTATTCCAAGGCAGAAAGGGCAAATGTGATAAGGAGGTACAAAGCAAGTAAGGGATGACAGAGAAAAAGGATATGCTGTTGTGGGAGGATGAGGGCCTTAAATGTAGAGTCTCAGAGTTTGAAGTTGATACGGACAGTCAGAGAACCAGCACAACATATTTAATGAGAAGAGGAACTGTAATGAAGGGAGAAAAACTAACTTTTAGCACTGACATTCTGAAACTGAGAAGCAAAGTGACCAGGCTCCCCTTTGCACCATCACCATTCAGTCTATAAAAAAACTAACAAAGGTCTGCCCATTTAACTTCACACACACTTACACGAGGCGATAGGGTTTCACTCAATCTGTGTTAAAAAGGGAAAGCCCTCAATTTCCATCCAACTCTGATTCCAGCTGCACAATTTGGAACTGAAAGCTCTTGGCTATAATTACAGCATGTTGGATCCCTAAATTGATGGGAGTGGGAGGGACAACTTGCATGGAGTCAGACTGCTGGGGAGACAGTGCCATAGGAACAGTGCTCACAGCCTCTCTGCTCTGTGGAATTTAAAACTCCCCTTCCATGCATATTGGAGGAGGGCAAGGACATACTGGATGCTTTCACACCAACATCCATAGCTTTTCCTAACCAGATGCACAGCCTACCCCAGTCATCCCATACTTACATTCTTGTTTAAAGGTGAAGTATTCTGTGAGGTGCCTGCACTCGTGGTTCCCTCGGAGCAGGAAAAGTGTTTTGGGGTGGTTTATCTTTAAACTCCATAAATACAGCACACACTACAAGAGAGTGATTGAAGGCAGCATATTAGAAAATTCATTTGCAGAGAATTGCACTTTGGAACTTTCTGGAAATAAGCCCAAGGAGCTGGATTTCCAGAAAGGAAGAAAGCTCGATTCCACAAGGTCCTGCTGCAAAGAGCTCACAGTGGAAACATAGAAAGCTGCCTTATACTGGTCAGACATTTTGTCCATCTAGCCAGGTAGACTTACCTGTGTCTCAGAGATAGGTCCTTCATATCACTGGCTACCTGATCCTTCTAACTGGAGACACCAGGGACTGAAACAAGGACCTTCAATATCCAACTGCATGGCCAACTTTTTTGGCAAG